TAGTGCAAAGTTTTGTAGGTCTATGGTCTACTGAGGTCTACGGACCCTAGACTTAATAGAAATCTTAGAGTGCATACCATATATCAGTGAAAAAGTTAACTAACAAAATTGTACAAATTAGTGCAAAGTTTTGTAGGTCTAAGGTTTACTGAACTTACTTGACCCTATTACAAAGTTTTTCACGGATATATGGTATGCACTCTATTAAGTAGATATTGCCCTTGTTTTACTTTTACAGCTATGACTGGGGTCACTTGGCGTCATTTCCTGCTCGTGCCCATGGCGATCAGTGTTTGACCACGACTTGGAGCAGACTGAGTGAGATTCGAAGACTTTTATCAGCTGATTGAAACTCAGCAATTTAGAGAAAACTAATTCATACATAAGACTATTACTAGGTGATTTAAAGAGGCTTACCCAGAATAATGAGTTGAGGTAGGCAGCATGGTCAGATTTCATGTGTACCGCTCCTCTGGTCGCGTATGAATAAATGTACGCACCGAACGTGGCCTGAAAACAAAATAACACATTAACGAGAAATCAAGTGAACGAAAGAAAGAAGAAATAATGAGAATGAAGAAAGAAAAATTCAATTGAGCGCGCATATCCCTTACCATCAGTCCATCGAACAGAAGCAGGATTAATGACGTCAGCACGGTAACAACAATAACACGTGGTTTCTGATCCTCACCAAATACGCGTAACCATGGTGATTTACCATTGAGGTACAAAGCAACAATATGATGATTATAGCCTGGATGGAAGAAAAATACCATACGATATTGCATGTGTTATAAATGACCTGACTAATTGACCTGACTCAGCTTTTGACAATCGACATTGATGTAAATGTTTCGTTGTTGCGTCGCCGGGTGCGCGTGGGATATTCACAACTTAGGCAAAACGCTTTTAAATGCAGAATTTAAATTTAGGTAGAAGATGGTTCTGTTTTACAGAGAGAGGAAAACGAAGAACAAGAAGAAAAAAACACACTCAAAGCAGAGGAGAGAAGCAGCAAGCAATCCTTCTTCTTACATGTGATGGCGAGTCAGGGTATAGAAACCAATGCAGCAGTTGCATTATTTGCATGCTGCATGTTGCATGTTGCATGTTGCATGTTGCATGTTGCATGTTGCATGTTGCATNATCATCATCATCATCATCAATGTCATTATCTTCATGTTTATAATTGGCTTCTGTCTATTCTTGCTTCATTGTTTTTAGCGTTCCTTGATGCAAAGAAACAGCAACATGGATCGACCAACGTAAGTAACGTAGTAGTTACCTTCAATGAATCACATTCTCCTTTTCTACCTTTCGTCACTCAACTATCTTATCATAGTAATATATCTTGGTTTTAGAAAAAGACAAAAAGCTGCCAAAAACGAGAAAAAGGAACAAAAGGTGGACTGAATCTATACTTATAATGTAGTTAACAATTCAGAGTGATGTAACGATATTTTGTTTAAGACATTCAAGCAGATTAAAGTTTTTTTAAAGAATCTTTTGCGACTCATTATGTCCCTTTGATTTTTAAATTAACTCCAAACGCCTGGCGTAATTTTCGTACATTAAACTGCTACTGCATTAATGTGAGATACGTGATACCTTTAGAAATATAATTGAATTTACCTAAGACACCAGACATCATGGACCATACTAGGAAATAATGTAGATACAGCGATTTCAAAAATAGGATGCTGCATGTTGCATGTTGCATGTTGCATGTTGCATGTTGCATGTTGCATGTTGCATGTTTTGAACTTTTGCTGATTACATTCACAGCGCCCATAGTGCATTTCGGGCTTGGTATACAGCATGCAACAAAGCCTTCACCACCATTACATATACAACAAACGACACAATACTCAACCTACATATTGATATTTACCGATGAAGGAAAACCAAAAAAAAAAAAAAAATTCGCTAAGCCCAGTATAGAACGAAGAAATTCTACTCACATATGCCACCGAACACGGGTCGCATTGGTCCTTTACGCCCTCATACTTCCCTATACCTATGAAACAAACGTCCAATAATCGTAGCATTTATTAAGCTGGTTTACCTGCATTGGTTATGGTTTGACTGCCGTACACTGACAAATCCTGTTTGTTTAGTTCACCTTTAATCTTCTCAAGTTTCACAGTGAAACGAAGCCACAAAAGACCAAAAATGACTGGAAGCTAAAGACACAAAAAAACAATCGTATGATTAGTTTTGAGATTCGAGATCCACGCAAATAAAACTTGATCCACTTAAGAGACGTTTTTTTCTAGGATTTTTTTAAAATTGTTTATTTTAGGACCATACTTCCAGACATCGAATGCTGAACCGTCGTATGGCAGCGCGAAGCATTTACGGCTACGCCGGAGATTTCGACCCCGACACCGCTATCCCTGGATTTACAGACTGATCAGGAAGCTCGGCCGAAGCCTAAGGGAGAGGTTAGTCGGCCCCTAAACCGTAGATGATTAACCCCTTGCTATGACCAGCATACCCAATTTTTCGCTCGTATCGCTAATGGCTAGGTGTTTACGGTCGCTCGTTTCCATGTGGGATGCGTTTTAAATAACTAAGTTTGAAATTTGAAATAACGCTTTGTTGTGTGACAAAAGGTATTTTTAAACGCAATCAAAAGATAAGAAAATATATGATAAAACAGAAATGAATTAGTATAGTGAGATGTTCAAATGCAAGCCAAGTTATGCGATCATGCGCGTCAAAACCTATTGTTCAAACCAACATGGCTCTCGTGTAAACTAGATGTATAATTTCACGAGGAGCCCAAACACTTTGCTGCTTGCATACTCAGTAATATTACTTTTCGTTCTAAGACTTACGTGAGCCAGTGCTACTATCCAGTAAGCCCACCTCACGTTAATATCCCGAGGAACAGCTTCTTGTGAGTAGAAGACAGATGAAGTGTTGTCTAAGCCACTCGAAGTGTTCGCGTACGGCCATTCATCGACTATTGTTGTGTAGTTTATGATGTATTCACATTTATCGCGCAGAAATGGACGTGCAATGAGAGGAGAAAGAAAACCTCCGATGCCGTAACTAAAATGAAGAGCCTGCAATAAATAAGGGATTATTTCAACGAATACATTTGTTGTTCTTCTGTCAGGATAAACCTTAAGGAGCGCAAGAATTTTAAAAAGAAAGAAAATACCACAAGCCAGGCGTGCAACCCCTAACTTTGATGAGAGATCTTCACTAAGTTTATCCAACACTGCGACCAACATTGCAACTATGATGGCGCGTGAGAAATGATAATGTTTCGTAACTACTCACCTGTAAGTACGGCGAAACCTGGAAAAAAGAATATATATAGCTACATTAAGATATTTTATTAGAATTGGATAACGAACGCAAACCGACTTGGTAAGGACAACATTAATGGCGGATTTTTTTGTACCAAACTTAGCTTTGATTTTTTATTGAGTCAAAATAAAGGTCATTTATCTATCTAACATACCATGACATACGTACGTTGAAGGTTAAGGAGTCACGACATACCTGCTTGCCATAAGTTCGTAGAAGATGAAACGTTGTGAACGTATCAGTTGCACCAAAACATGCTCCATAAATACCAGCAAGTAAAAGCATAGCAGCAAACACTCGACAAAGAGGTATGAGGATAATACAGACAGCACTTATACCAAGGGCTATCGTCACTAGAAGATTGACATTAAACCTAGAAATAAAACCACACCACAAAAATGACTTCATCAGAGGAATAAAGGCGCATGCGCAATAGAAGAATTTTAAGATAGTATGGTCACTAGAAGATTGACATTAAACCTAGAAATAAAATCACACCACGAAAATGACTTCATCAGAGGAATAAAGGCGCATGCGCAATAGAAGAATTTTAAGATAGTATGGTCACTAGAAGATTGACATTAATCCTTTAAATAAAACCACACCACAAAAATGACGTCATCGAGAAAATGAAGGCACATGCGCAATAGAAGAATACTAGGAGATTGACATTGAACCGGCCTAGAGAAAAACGTTTGCGCATGCGTGCCTTTCAGCACGTTTTCTAATAATTTAGAAGAGTTTAAGAGAGTATTGTCTGTTGCATGCGCATGTGCAGCAGAAAATATTATTACGAAATGACGATAGTATTAATGATAGCAATCATATAATCATATTTATTCAGAATGATTGATTCTAAATCAGTTTTTATTAGTTTGTCACAAGCAGCTTATTATATTTTCTTGCCATAATTTGATAAATTATTTTTTTATGCAAGAGGGTTTATTACGAATAACGTGGAAGGGCTGGTTGGGTGTTAATGAGTAGCCATACGTCATAACTTCAGCCCTAATGATCAAAAACACCGACCGAGACTTGAACAAAAGTCTTTTTTTTTTTTTTGTAGAAATACCGTATGGTTTGTATTGTTAATATAAAGCTGTTTTACTACAAATATAATATGAAACTATTTCCCTGTACGAAGACTTTCTCATGCAGCTTTGTTTAGTAAGTACCTCGCCTTGAAAAATTGAAAAAAAATTTGTTCAGTTATCCAAGATTATTTTTGAAGAAAGGAAAATAAATTTGAGTATCTTAGCGTATTCCGCCCATTTTTTAGCACAAAAACCTACCCAAATACGATTAATATTTAATACCCCAGAAGCCCTCCAATATATAGAAGGTGCAAATATCATTGTGAGAACTATTCTCTTTATTGTTCAAAGCACAGTTAACGAGTCTAGCTATGAACCAGGTGAAAAAATACACAATTATGATAAAGATATGATAGAAATATGATGTTCAATATTATCAAATACCTCTTCTATCTTAGAATTTCATATTAAAAATATATGTTAGAATCTCAAATTTTAGTCGCTATTTTTAATCGTTTGCTGAATTTTATTTTCTCCCGCCAAACCGGCGTGTCGTTCTCTCTTTAATTTATTCATATTCTCATGATATTTTCAAAACTCCCTAAATTTTTCTTTTATGAAACAAATGAAAATATTTCAAAGCTATTTTTCTGTACTTAAAAGGGACAAATTTTGTAATTTTTTTTCTTGTTCTCTTTTTCCCTTTGTTTTAGCTTTTGTGTTTTTCTTACAAATCGTCAAAACTTTGGCGCCATATAAATCGAATGAATATTATTTTGGTAAAAGAAATTTTTCCAATTTAGACAATCCATTATAACTTTATTAAATCAACTCTAAAAAAAAAAAAGAACCCACTAAAAATGCTTTCGGAGCTGTAGGGAAGCATTGCTCAATGCCCAAAATTGCCTCAACGCCTTGTCTATAGAACGAAAGAACTTAGAAGCTCTCAAAGTCAAGTGTAACTATTTAGAGCTATTCAACATACCTATCGGCAAGTATTCCTCCGCTAGTTGATCCAAAAACGTTGCACAAGTCATGGACGAAGAAAAGTAAACTCATGATTGTGATGGTTTGGCCTGACAAGCAGCGCAACTCAAGCAAAGTTGGGCCAAGAACTTCATCTGACATGCCGAATACCATAAACACACCACAGTAACACAGAGTTGCTTTAAAGTTACGCTTATCTCCGACAAAATTCTGAAGTCTTTGCCGAAATGACAAGTCCTTCTCAAACGTCTTGCTCTCCACATCTTCTGGGTCAAATAAAGGTTCTTGTTCATCATCAGAGATGTTTTCCATTGTCACCGGCATTTTTTTATCCCTTCTATTCTAAGCACTCAACAGAAGCGTTACTCCCTCATCGATATCAATCGCTTTGATGCTAATTTTCTTCTTGGGCGGGAAAAACTCCGATCAAATGAACGCTTGGTCTTCTACAAGGAATTATTTTTAATCCAGACGAATGGATCGCGATGGCCTTGAAAGGTGGACGGCAAACTTCATGACCACATATCGCTTGAGGCAAGCTTCTGTGGATACCATAAAACTATGTTATAAATAATAAAACAAACGAGAACTTCACCAAGAAATAATTAAAATACTTAAGAACGGATACAAACCTTTGAAATTATAGCAATTTTCTTGGAATACACTTCTGGGAAACTGTAAGGCTCCTACTTGAAGTCATTGAGTGGAATGGTTTATTGTAAAATGTTTTGGCAGAATATCTTTATAACCGTTATCACCTGGTCTGTCCTTCATTCTCTCATCTAGAAGAACTATATATATCAACCAATCAGAGCTGAACATATTCTTTATATATAATTTAACTAGTTGTATGATTGAGTATACATAAGAGAGTCGATCAATCTTGACTACATTCTCTTTCTAACGAGATTAGTTTTTGTCAGTGTCTTTAAGCCTGGTGATTCAATGTCCCGTTCCTTGACTCCAAGCTAAATACTACAGTATGATCTTTCAATCCGAATCATACGAAGCAACCTTCATTATTCTCTCTCGTATAATTAGTTTGATATCAGATTCAAAGATATTTAGAATAATTTTATAATGTGATTCAAGGCTTGATATCAGAGTCTTGTGGTTGCTCCATGACACTTGATATAAAAACGATGAATTTCATTTTAACTATTCCAAAAACTGGCGATGAATGTCAAAACAGAAAAACAATTTCAGATTTAATTTCATTTTCAAATTCAGCTTTTTGCTGAATCAAAAAAATCAAATAAAAAATAAGACAATTTTCCATCTCGATTCTCAACTTCCAGATCTCATTCACTTTAATCAAACTCTGTTTACTAATTCTAAGAGGAAAAATGTTTAATAAACTCCATAAGTATTTGCAATAATGAGAAAAATTGTTTTTGTAATGAGAAGAGTTCTCCAGTGTCAGTGATACCAGTGACATCTTAGTTTTTTTTTTCGAAATTATTATTAAATATGACCTTTACTAAGTAGATCAATCTAAACTAACTTTTGCATATTGTTCCCAAAATAATGCTTGAACACTGCATGGCCGTAGTTTTGATTTTTACATGATTTGATATGAAAAAAAGAAAAAAAGGATCTTATAATGAATAGAAATTCTGTCAGTGCAGAGGGTCATTACGATTGAGAATGCTGTGGTTAGACGGATAACATTGCAGATAAATTTGGGTTGCCGGGAAAGGGAATGAAAGAAAGAGAAAGCCCTAGGGTTCCCTCCCTAGGGAAAAAAAATGGAAATTCCGGTTGTAAAAAAGTTCCGGAAAACTCGGATTTCCGATTGACGTTTCACTTTTCCCGCTCTTTTCGGTTCTTTTGGCAGACGCGTGCACCATTTTTCGGAAATCAAAGTTTCCCGCTCTTTTTTTTTACCATTAGCAGAAACAAATTCCAACCAGATGGATTGGTTTAAATGGTAAGCCACCTCCTGGCATTAGAAATAACTTTTCCAATTATAAAGAGCTAATCTTGAAGATCTTTTCGGGAATGTCCTCAGGTTTTAGAGTACCACTATTTCCGAGTGAAAAGAAATTGATACTACTTGGTCAGAGATAATTTGACCAGCCCATTTAAGTAAACAAGCTTGCTAAAGTTTAACTTCAGTTTTCTTGTGTTATTTTGGTCATATTTCTCAACCACCAGCAACGCGATTGTCTTAATTTTATTATGAATTATATGATCATTTTAACCAGTCAAATCTTGTTTGAATCTTTAGCAAGGAGTTTTGAACAAGTAAGGAAAATACAAGCAATATTCTTGTCGACTGTTGGAGGTAAAATCAAAACAGCATGTGGCTCTTGTGGCCAAACAACAAACAAACTTTTCGTTGAGCGTCAAGAACTTTTTAAACCGTGTGCTGGCAGATTAAAACTCCGATTCATTTTAGCAGAGTAAAACCCAATACCTTTTCTTTAGGTATTAGTAAGATATATGGATTTAAAACTAGGAATTGTGGAAAGTGTTTTGACCTTTTTTGTTTGCCACATGTTGCTTCAGCACTTTCAACAAGCAACAAAGGATGAATAATTGATGAAGTCCAAAAGATCGGGGGACGCCATTATGGATTGGCTTAACAATATCTCATCGAAATACTGTAGATAAAACTCTTAATAACGGATCATTCTGAACTAATGAGTTAAAAGGACTATTTTAGAACCAGAGAGAAGTTACTATTGGATTCACGTACAAAGAGAACTTAAAATGGCTGGCGGAGTTGGCAAGAAACCAAGAATACGAACCATGAAATATAACAGGAAATAATTCATCCAAATCATTATCTACGCTGTGAGAAATTTTATATAACACATGTAACGAGTCAAAATGAGTTTTACGCATTTACTTGGAGTTACTATTATCCAAGACAAAAAGACGCAAACGAGTAGTAAAGATACAAGAGACGATGGTTCAATAGATAAGGTTACAGGACAACAGATCAACCAATCAAGGAGGTCTTTCTTTCAGACGTTAATGTGTTGTGGGTGTTTCTTCTCGTTTGGTACAACTATGGCAATAATTGGACCAACACTCATAGAACTAGGACATCTAGTAAACCATGGTTTAGACATGATGAGCTGGTTATTTTTTACTCAAGCAGCGTACGCTCTTCTCGGTGCTGTCATGGCTGGTATCCTGTTAGACAAGTAAGTGTACTGTCAAAATGTTGAAGTTGTAGTCATTGGTGCTATTTTGTACTAATTAGTTAGTACTATTTCACGGATATATTATTTACACTCTATGAAACTGTCACCAAATTGCGAAAGACATTAAAGTGCATTACCATTAACCAATCATGTACTTGTTATTCCTTGGAATAATGTCATGACATATCTTCCTTCTCCGCCCCTCCGAATGAGGAAGAAGATGTCCTCCATGCTGGGTTCCCTATTGGTGTTTTACCCCCTTCCCCTCCATCCTTTTCTTTATCACCCCTCCCCCCAAGGGGTTCAAATATTGCTTAGTAGGGCCCCACGGACGGTCAGTGTTTTTGCGTTATAAAACATTAAATGACATTGATGATGATGATGATGATGATGTTGATGATGATGATGATGATGATGATGATGACGACGATGATGATGATGATGATGATGATGACGATGGTGATTTTGATAGTGAGAATGATGGTGGTGTAAGATTATAAGGATGATATAGATAAACAAACAGCTGGCAAACAAAACGCTGATAAAAACAATCAAAAAGATCGATAGAATAAAAAAGCACATAAACAATCGAACAAGCAATCAGTAAGACAAACGAATAAAAATAAAAAAACACACAGTAAATTTGAGAGGATCAATTTGGCCCCAGAAAGCCATTTTGGCTTTTTCAAAGTAGTGCTATTTTAGCCCAGGCTAGGGTCAAAATAGAACAATGCCATTTTGGCCCCACAGAAGCCATTTTTATGGGTCTATCAGTACTGTTTTGGCCCCCTCAACTAGGCCAAATCGGGAGGAAAATCCGGGGGCTAAAAAGGGGCTAAAACAGTCCCAAAATCAGAGCTAAAAATATGGCCCCTACCGGTAGTGCCAAAATAGCCCTACTTTAAGGAGGCCACTGTAGGGTCAAAATTTTGGCCCCATTTTTGGGGCCAAAACCGCCCTATCCGATTTACTGTGCAAACACACAAAAGCTACTTACAAACTATACATAGTGCGCCAAACACTGTAACAACCTGGGGAATGAACAAATGAGCGAGCGAGCGAGCGAGTGAGCGTTCAAACAAACGAGCAAACAAACAAACAAATTTGAAAACAACCAAGACATCTGAAGCAGCCATATTGTAAATTCATTGGCATGTGTTACGTTAAAAAAAAAACATAAGTTAAGGAGCGAAATAAATTTGCTGTCCATGAAGGTGCAATATAAAAGATATGGTTTGATTGTCTGTAGCGGGTAAATGATCACGCCATCCAATTGGTTTGTTCTGTAACTGGTCAACCATTGAACTTGACATATGACAATGTAACCTGCTGGAAGGCCGTACTTAGGGTCACCGTCTTCAAAGATGCATGTAGGAACACTTATGACTTATCAAAGACACATTACCAAAGTAATAGGGTTTTTACTGATAACCGGCACACTTCATATTCGACTTGAATGGGCTTAAAGAATCCCTGTCGACGCTTCATACATGGTGGCTAAATAGATAAAAAAAGCTTTGGATAGGTTACAAGAGATGAAAAAGGATTTGAAACATTGAAATCGAAAGATTTTTTCTTGCCTTCTTACCAACGCTTCTGGAGAAAGTGAGAAAGCGCATGTCTCGCCAGTTTCATCCTTGGTCGTTATAAACTGCCTGGAAAACTCTCAATCAAAAGCCGAAGATAATTCAATTCTGTGAGCTAAAGAAACCGTTGTTAGGAACCCGTCATTTTGTCTTTTTTTATATGTATATATTTTAAAACGCTTTAAGTGATGACTACATCTGATAATGTTGTGCTCCAAGTGTTACCCGTATTCGTTGGCAAAAATGTCTGTCGTTGACAAGAAGATCAAATGATCAATAGAAAACTCTTTGCTTGTCTGGTCTGCGTCATTGCAGTTGGTGCTTCTTGGTTTTTATCTTACAAAATCGCTAGAGTTCATCGCTTCTACCTTTCGAGTCATTGACGATAAAGAATAACCTCGAAAAATGCTGCGACAAGCGATCTTCCGCCGTGTATTCTGGAGTTTCTGGGAAGAGTATTCACATCAAGTAACGAGATACAAACTACCAAGTTCGTGTACATCAACAATCAAATCACGAATTGCTCACTTGTTTTACTTCATGACGTTTTTTGTGTTCGGTATGACGGTTGGCATTGCTGGGCCAACATTACTTGATTTTGTAATGAACTATTTTCCTGATGTGGATGCTATTAACGTGCTAAGTTGGCTGTTGTTTGCGCAGTCTACCACGAGGTTTATTGGAGCTATGGGTGCTGGTTATGTTATTGACAGGTAAACGAAATAGGAATGGAATGGAATGGAAAAGGATAGGATTGGGATAAATGAGATGGGTTAGTTAACACAGGAATATCGATAGAATAGGATGATGGATTCCATTGAATCGAACGAGAAAAGATAATATGTTATAATATTACTAATAGAGTATTAATGAATTTAGAATGAGATAAAATAGATGGGAAGGGATGGTTATAATAGTAACATACTGCTAACACAGACTTGGACAAAAGTGGAATGGCATGGGATGAAAGAGAATGGGATGAAATACAATACTATAAGGTAGAGATAGAGGGGGGATGAAGTAAAACGAATGAAATGAGATGGCTTCAGATGACATGATGGGATTGAATGGATGGAAATGGATATATTGGATGAGCATATTGATCACAAGTAAACCAAAGGGTTGGAGGTCATGTATATAATAAACTAATGTGTTTTATGTTCGTTTTCTGTTGTTTTTTATAGGTTTAACTGTAATCGTAATTTAATGTTGTTGGTATGTCTTGCTCTGAATGCCATATTTCTGGCCGTCATCCCACTAAGTCGTGATCTATGGCTACTTATCCTGACCACAGCTGCTGCGGGTTATTGTGTGGGTGTCTTGGACACTGCTACTAATGTGCAGCTACTGTCTCTACACGGCAAGAAGGTGGGTGTCTCTTGTATGTAGACCCTGGTATGTGCGTATCTGCTTTTGGTAGCTACGAAGGTGCGGTTACCTTGGGATAGTACTCATAAGGCAGTAAGAATTTTATAGTTCAATATCTCAAGAGTATATCAGTACACTACTTTGCAAATATTGTTAAATTACTGGTTGTTACCTTTTTCTACAGCAGTTTTCGTATGACTGTGAAAAGGTCACGACACGAATACGGACGTAACACGGCAAGGCATACGTACGGCAACTCAATCACATTACATCCAATCAAATCCCGTAACATGGCAAGAACACGGCGTAGACACGGTCACGCCAAGGTAATGACACTGTCAGACAAATCACATTGCGCGAGAAAGAAAATCAGCGAATCAAAAAACATCACGGTCACGGCACGGCACGCATATAGCACCGACTTATTCACAGTCATACGACAGCTGCTCTAATGCGCATCTGTGCTAACGGCCTCCTTGGCCATAACCAATGGCCAACTTTATAACATGAGTATAACATACATATCGTTTACTCGTAACATTTTCTCGAATAGATTACTACTTATAGTATTAATCAGATGAAGAATAGTCGGGATATTTTAGGGATCATTCATGATTATAGTTGATTAAAAAACTTTGGTATTCTTTCAGGTCTCGCCTTATCTTCAGGTATGTTTTCAATCTCCTAGAGTATCAGGTACAATTGTCGTGTCTTTTACCAAGGTTCTGACGCTCAAAGTACTATTCACTAACTCGCTATACCATGCTTTAAGGAAATGGTATTTCTTCAGAGACAGAAACCAAGAGAAAATGAGCGCATGCGCTCAAACGTTTGTGGGTTTTTGTTGTTGTTGTTGCGGTTGTTGTTGTTTTACATACTGCGAGACAGCCTTTCGTTTTATGAGTTAAAATTACTTATTGTAATTTTAAAACTAATAATTTGCGCACGACACAAACTTTTTCCCAACGAAGTCACTAATATCTTTTGTTTCCTCCCCAAGGCTCTGTATTTCTCGTATGGTTTTGGCGCGTTTGTGAGCCCACTTATCGCCGAGCCATTTCTGAGCGGTGAGCCCCACCCAGAGATCATAGCGGCACGAAGAGAGAAACCGATGCCGTATGGTGGAGGAAAACATCGTCATCATCACTTATCACATGACAATATCACTAAAGGGATCGCCATGTATGATTCTGCCTACAGTAGTGAAGTGCAGTTTGCCTATTGGATCATCGCTTTAGCTCATGTAATGTTACTGATTAATTAGAGCAAGGTTTGCGTGAACGTGAACCGTCACGATACGGATGCCGTGACCGTCACGGTACCGTGTCCGAGCATATTGATTGGCTGAGTAGAATTTTACTCGCTGAAGTGCCGTTTCACAGTCATGCAAAATCTGTTTTATATGATCTGACTCTAAAGTTCTTATCACCAAAACATTAACATTTGTACTAGTCAACTAGTTAACATCACTTCCTGACACCTCCCCTGTTAGGTACCCGTTGTTATTGGTTTGGCTTACCTAGTCGTGCTGGACATGTTGGAAAGTCGCCAGGAAAGAGAAAAAGAACAGCAATCAAGCAAAGATAGTCATAAAGGTGATTCTGTTATCTTGGTATTCTTACGAGGGGATGAGCTCGAGAGGGAAGGGGGTTACGATCACCTCAACCTTCTCCTTGTACGATGATTCTGATATTCATCGTGAGACAATAACTGCATCTAAGGAAGTTTAGAATTTGAGTGTAGAAAATCGCACGATCTCGAATCCAATTTGAGAACTTTCAAAACATCACGAGTATCTATAAATTCCGAATTGTACGAGGAGATCGTGCAATTTTTTGTTTATAATACGCTCAACATAATTGAGCAACTTAATTAATACTCTACAGAGTACAATTTGGGATTTAATTGTACTCCTCCTATCCAATCAGAATAGAGTTATTTTGTTGAGTGTATCATAATAGAAAAAAATAAGGTTTACAATGCACAATAATAGGTCACTCGCATTATAGATAGCGTCATATACTACCACTACCAGAATTTAATCCCTTGCACACTTTGTTTTGTTCAGTTGATTAGCACCAATTGTCTTTGTCTCTTGTCAACTATTCTAATGAAGAAATACGAATCTGGAAAAGAAACAAAATTTATGAAGCATTTTTGGTAGTGGTATTTAAACGACGCCAGTATGCAAACGGCATATCATCGGCAGTTTCTGAGAATGAATATGACGTCATCTTTTCGTGATGACGTCACAAAAAACGCGAGTCAAGACTTACTTTTTCTTTACAATACTCTTGATAACGGGTTGAACTGTTGCTTTGAATTATAGATGTAGATATCCTTGAACCAGAAGAACATAGACCTGTTAGTCTGTGCAGCAATCCAGACAGATTCCAAATTATTTGCATCTCACTGTGGACCTGTTTATTGGTTTTTCTATACGATGGAATGCAGGTAGGATTAATAACGGGACACTCTGATGCCCACAGTCTCATTGGACCAGAAAAACTGCAAGCTTATTCTTGAATTAATTTTTACATGCTATGACGTCATTGTTCTTATTCTCCAGGGGTCCTATGGGGGTTATATTTATACATATGCTATGACGTTACGTCATCTACACATGTAATGACGTCATTGTTCTTATTCTTCAGGGGTCCTATGGGGGTTATATTTATACATATGCTATGACGTTACGTCATCTACACATGTAATGACGTAATTGTTCTTATTTTTCAGGGGTCCTATGGGGGTTATATTTATGCATATGTTATGACGTTACGTCATCTACAAATGTGATTACGTCATTGTTCTTATTTTTCAGGGGTCCTATGGGGGTTATATTTATGCATATGCTATGACGTTACGTCATCTACACATGTAATGACGTCATTATTCTTATTCTTCAGGGGTCCTATGGGGGTTATATTTATACATATGTTATGACGTTACGTCATCTACACACGTAATGACGTCATTATTCTTATTCTTCAGGGGTCCTATGGGGGTTATATTTATACATATGCTGTTAAAAGTTCGTTGAAGATGAAACCAGCGGAAGGTGCCTTCTTAACGTCAGTATTTTGGGTAAGTCACAGTTTATGTTGTAATGTTATACCATGGCGTATAAATATATATTAGATACCCCACACTGTTCTGGTAACTGTGATATATTATGGTATATATATATAACGCATGGTTTGTTCTGTTGTGCGGGAAGTCGTGGGTTCGAGCCTCAGCCGGCCCAACACTCGGGGTCTTAAAATAACTGAGGAGAAGGTGCTGCCTTTGTAATTACATCTGCAAATGGTTAGGCCTTTAAGTCGTCTCGGATAAGGAATTAAATCTGTAAACAGAATACTGTTTTATATTTGTGTTTTACATTTGTGTTCTATTTTTCCTGCAGGGTTCGTTAGCCCTTGGTCGCCTAATTTCTATTCCTATAGCTTTGTTCACTAGTCCTGCTGTTATGCTTTTTGTTGATTTGGTAAGCAATTACATTATTGAATTATTATATTTCAAAAAGGCGCTCAATAAGTTGAAAAAAAAAAAAAAAATTATGGATGAGTCAGCGGTACTTTAGATTTGGCGCGTGAAGGGGAGAGGGGTGGGGGCTTGTGCACCCTCTTGGTTACGCCCCTGAGTTTTATCATGAAGATAAGTTGAATAACATTTATAAACGAATTTTTATAAGATATCCGCTTAATTAACAGTGTAAGTAAATAGTTTCTGAGTGAAATATATGCTTATGAGAAAGTCAGATGAAATCATTCAGATCAAATTTACTATATATCATAAACGATCCGTTTAGTTCGGGGCGAAATCTCTGGCGTAGCCGTAAATGCTTCGCGTTGTCATACGACGGTTCAGCACTCGATGTCTGAAAGTATGGTCCTTTTTTAATAAACCAAAAAAAGTAAAAATTAGTTTTAATAAACGCATCCCACATGGAAAGGAAGGAGTATGCGCTCAAACCCATTCCCGTCACATTCAAAATTTTGAGTTTGCTGGTCATAGCAAGGGGTTAATCATCTACGGTCTAGGGGCCGACTAACCTCTCCCTTAGGCTTCGGCCGAGCTTCCTGATCAGTCTGTAATCCTTCGGATAGCGGTGCCGGGGTCGAAATCTCCGGCGTAGCCGTAAATTCTTCGCGCTGCCATACGACGGTTCAGCACTCGATGTCTGGAAGTATGGTCCTTTTTTAATAAATCAAAAAGTAAAAATCCTAAAATCATGTTTCCATTGCAAATTAACTCTAAAAGAGATCAATTCAGGGCCGTTGCCAGGTTTATTGCGGCAGGGTGGGTGCACAGGAAATGGAAATGAACTATGACTAACTAACATACGGCCGTCTTGAGAAGATTCAAAGACTTATCAGCTGATTGAAACCAAACCAGACTACAAAGATAGATGGATTAATAAATTAAATATTTAGATAATAATGATAATAACGATATTCAATTGAATTTCTTTGTTACTTCTAGGGCGGGACATTAGCAGCGAGTCTATTAATGTTAATATTTAAAGAAAGTTCTATAGTATTATGGATTGGGACCAGTACTTTTGGATTGTTCATGAGCAATGTCTTTCCCTCGAGTGTGGCATTAGTAGAGCAATACTTTGAAGTGACAGGTAAACTTCACAACTTTGACTATCTAGTCTTAATAGACCTTTTCACGGATATGGCGGCCATCTTGAATGCTATCGATTTAATTAAGACATTATGGGATGCCGAGGGAGCGGCCATCGTAAACATTTATAGTCTACACAGCTGTCAGGATGATGTCTTTTTATTTGATTTTACGCTTTTCAACGAGAAGTACGTCTAAAAAGCAATTAAATTTGCTGGTAATTCAGTGGAACACCTAAACTTCAAATTATTTGAAAACATAATCCCACCACTGGATTTTAAATATTTTCCACATGTTTGCCCCCTCGGCTTCCCATAATTCAATATGGCCGCCGTATCAGTAAAAAAGTCTATTCTCAGTACCTTGGTATTAAACTGGCAAGACAACTACACGTTTTGTGACTCGTGTTCTGGGGTTAACGAGATCGGAGCTAAAAGATACTTTGCTTATGAAGGCGGAAGGGAAGGAGAAAGGAGGTAGAGAAATAAGGAGGGAAGAAAGGAAGATTGGAAGGAGGGGATGGAAGGAAGAAAGAAGGATAAAATAAATAAGAAGGTATACAAGGAAGGAAGTAAAGGAGGGATCGAAGAAGAAGGAGGAAGCAAAAAAAAAAAAAAAAAGAAGGAAGAGTTCAATGATAATATGTTGGAAACTTAAAGGAAAAAAACAAAGAAATAAATAAAGAAAAAGAAAGAACGAGCTACTAAATGAATCATCGAATAGAAACTATGACGCGTTACTGACTGACTGATTTACTATGTCCAGGAACCATCACGTGTATGTTCGTAGTTAGCGCTGCTATAGGAGAAATGGTAATACCATTAATTGTTGGTAAAGTATTCGACTACGTGGGACCAATAAGCTTCCTGGCTGAAGGATGTATTCTATGCTTTGCTGCTTTTGGGGTCTTATTTGCTGTTCTTATTATGGGAAAAGGATTGTCTAATACATCTCGAAGTGAGTATTGATGAAAACAAACAGAAAAGTAAATAGATTGATTGACTCATGAACTGGTCATGGCTGACTGACTGATCAACTGATCCGACGCCATTAGAAAGCTAGCTAGTATTTTTATTTTTATTTTTCTTAACAGATGGAGAAGAGATAATGACGGATGATGAGAACACTTCATCGCAGAAGTCACCGCTAAAAACTAACACAGAAAAACAAGAGATTACCTAATCTTGATTCAAAATGTATAGCTTATTTTATTGGTATTACTATTATGATATATAGTCATTAAAGGACTTATTTACTAATATTATTGGTTATTGATATCATTGATTATTATTTATTGCCCTTTGGCCAAAGGCCAGATGAAGACCAGTAGCTTGATGGTACTGGAGTAAATTGTAGGCAGTGATGGGGAAAGGTAGCCAAACCCATATTTTAAAAAAATGTAAAAAAATATTTACCCTTCAAGATATTTTGATGGTTTAAGGAAAGGATGAATTCATGAATTTATAGCAAAGAAAATAATATTTGTACCCTAATATATATAGCCCCACTCCCCATGAACTCGAAAAGATACACTGGAACGGCGGAAAATGGACCTGTGGATTGGACAAACATGCAAGATGTATAAAAATATTAAAAGATAGCTTTGTCATTTTCCATCACAACCCGACTTCTCTTATTTGAGTGAGTGAGTGAGTGATACTTTATTTATACTCGAAAAAAAATTCTATCAATATAAAAATTGCTTTACAAGAATGTCGAGTTAAATAAGAATACAATTTAGACAGCTAAAAAAGTTTATGAGAGTCCAACAGAAGAAAGCTTTCTCTTAAATTCCCTTATACTTCTAGCTGACTTAATATCTGAAGGCAAAGAGTTCCATGCTTTTGCACCTTCATAGGAGAACGCACGTTTGA